ATTTTTTGTTAATTTTATTTTTTTAAAAATTGATTCCTACACAAATGGGAATGAGAAAACCTTCCATGAACTAAGAAATGGCTAATCCCATGGAGATGGGTTTTGTCATTCCCATTAGAATGGTAATTCCTTTAAAAAATGTATACCAATCATAGGAAAGGAAATGAGTGAAGGAATGATCATTCCATTCTCATGTCATTCCTTCATACCAATCATGCCCTTAGGATTATATATCATTCCCTTTTTTATACGATAAATACCTACCCAAACTTGCCTGCTTGAGTTATACGGACAACTCTCGGGCAGCCTGCCTGAGCTACAACATTTTTTTTTCCAACAACTAACAAACAAATTTTTACACCTGGCAACAGAGCAATCCGAATAACCAAGTGATTAAAAATTATCTCGACTAAAGAACATAAAAAAAAATGAAATAACAAGTTAACAACATATACCAAATATACATTGAAAATGCTATCGGAGATGTCCCTAGCATCAATAAAAAATTTCACAATCTTTATTTTTTAATTTGAATAGCTTAATTTCAAAAAATGAAGATATATGAAAAAAATAATAATCTCTTTTTAACATTTTTATTTTTATTTTTTTGATACAACGCTTTTTAGCATTTTAAAAGTTAAGTAAAACTATTTAAGCAAAATTAAGCAAACTATTGGCTTCACCCATGAAGATATATATCCAAATGATGATTATTAATTGTAGCCCGCAATCTAAAAAGCAAGATCTTGGTCATGATTTGTTGAGATTAGGATTAAAGTACTCCAGTAAATCATTAAAGTGGCCACTAATATGATTGCAAATTCAAGCTTACCTCTCAATTAGTCAAACATTTTAGCTGAGTGCACGTCTAAAAGGTGCCGTAATCAAATATTCTGATACGATATTTAATCACGCTTATTTGTCCTTTTTGTTTTTCTCTTTTTCCTATTGTCTTATTTCTTACTAAAGCAAGAATTAAAAGCATGAATTACATGCTAAAGCGCCAATTCATGATGGCTACATCATAGTAATTAACTAATTATAAAGATGATAATTATTATTATATTTCAATATATAGGAAAAGATGAGTTATTTCGAAAAAAAAAATTGTATAGCTAATTGTTAATGAGATATTGATTTTATATAAAAATAATATTTTAAATAAAATAATTAAAGTTGATTTGATGTAAAAATAAGAGAGAAATATGTGATGTGATAATTAGTTAAAATTATGTTAGTGGATGAATAGTAAATTAATGTTGGTGTGATATGTAAAAATGATTAATTGATATTATTTGATTATATTTGTATTATTTAGGATAGTGAAGCGGGGTTAAAATTGAATTAGATTTTTTTTTTTTTTTTAGCCCTATGCAAGGAGCTTAGTGAATGAAGATGATGTTATTTTCATAATTAGAACCTTTAGCCCAACACCAATTAATTGAGATAATCTTCTATATGTTTATTTTATTTTTAAAAGTGTGAAGATATATGATATAGCCATACTGTCGGATAACGGTTCATATCATCACGGTTCGAAACTGCCAAGTCGATTTTAACACAGTCGACTCCGCCAGTAGGGTTCCACGGTACTCAATCAAGAAGCCCGGTTCCCGACCGAGTCGACGTACACCTGTCGACTAGAACAAGTCGACCTCTGGCAAGACAGCGATCAGACGTATCAGGGTCCACTAACGGTGGGGTGCGATCCAGTCGACTCGACTCAATACCTCAAGTCGACTGAAGGAGTCTTGCAGTTCGTGGTTCCCGATAGCTTTGACACACCTCAGCATATTGAAGAAGAGTTAAGGATAAGAAGGAAACTAAGGAAGGATCTAGATGCTGACTAGGAAGTGGGCAGAATGCAAACCGACCGGGGTATTCTGGACATTTCCATTGAGTCGGCCGGGGCACTTTGGGGACTTCAGGTAAATATTGCACTTCTATATAAAGGACTGAGGTAATCCCAAAACCCTAACTCCCATTCATTCCATATCCTATTCATTACTGCTGCTGCTCTCATAGCAGCTCCCATCATCTCTCTCATATACTGACTTGAGCGTCGGAGGCTCTACGCCGGAAACCCCTCCGGCGTTGAGTTCTTGCAGGTGTTCTTGCGGCTCAACAACGGTTCGAACGTCATCACATCAGATCTAAGCTCATTCGCACCGGTTCGTCCCAGATCCGGACGTTTTCCCATTGAACCGTTCCAGATCTGAGAAGAGACCCATCAATATATAATCTTGGTTGATTTGTTTGTCTTGAACCAAACAGCATGAAAAATATAAAACTGTGGCAAAATTTTGAATGCTCTCCAACTACTAAGCAGATAAGGCACGAGACAACCAATACTAAAATCGGCCCCATTACGAAGTCACTTGAGTCAAATCAAGCGAACTCGTTTAGTGGTGTAACGACATTCAAATTAAGTGCAATTTTCAAATAAATAGCAATTGAATCGAATTAGGATTATTATTGGAATTATATATATACTTCCAAAATACTTTCCTTGGAGATAGAAAAGAACTTTGAAGAATTGGATACTATTTTTCTTGTGTGTTCATTTTATATATGAAACTAATCCGTAATCCGTACGATGCAAGAGTGAAGATATTATAAACGAAAAAAATGAACATGTTGAAAAGATAACACAATTTGTATTATAAAAACCGATGGAATAAACTATCACTGAATTTAAAAATAAACATGTTAGAGTATCATATTTTTTAATATATGCATGAATCACTAGATCTGCTTTATGAACCTCATTTTAAATTCTATTTGTTTTTGTATAATCGAACCCTATGACTGTAAAAGAAATGAAAATATCAGATGTAAATTTTAACCATCAATTTAACCACCCATTTTATACATGTACTGAGATCTTGTAATCAATCTCTCATTTTCTTGCTTTGTTGTATTACTTAGAGCTCCATTTCGTCCATTAGACATGTTTACATTAATTTTTTACTCATATATATATATATATGGGGTTGGGTTCACATGAGAATGGTTCTTAGTGAAAGAAATGAGAATAAATCTTAGTCATTAGATTGAATGATCTAATGGCTTAAAAAAATTAAAATTTTGTCCTCATTAAGGATAATGTGGTATTTTTACACATTCAAACACACTCAATAAGGGTAATGTAGTATTTTTACACACTTAAATAGTGAGCCCATAGGCCACCTCACCTATCTAACTCATTACTTATCTCTCTCTATCAATACACACACATACGCCACATCACACCATCAACACACACAAAATACACGCCACACACACACACACAAAACACACGCCACACACGCACCTGATAAGTCGTATTCTTGACATGTTAAATGTCATGTTTTCCATACTTTTTCGGTGTTTATTTGAGCTTAATTTTTAATTTTAATTGATTTCTATAATTTTTGTAGGATATCTTGGAATTTGAAACTTATAATGATTGGAGAGCAAAAGAGACGAATTTGAGCTAAGGCGTGGGCACGCTAATTTCCTACAAGAGTTAGAAGAAGGAAGGAGTCTCAAGTTGGAAAGAGAAATAAAAGATTATGGAGTTTTTATTTATTTAAAGACTATTTTAATTTATTAGGATTATTTTGGAGAGAGAATATTATTTTCTTCCTATTTTTCTAGGATTAGAATTAGACTGAAAATCAGACTGCTATGTATTATTTTTCTCTCTCCTCTTCCTTTCTCTTCGATCGAGTTCATCAGATTTTCTTATCTGCGCGATCTGCTTGGCTTGGACTGGCTTCACGCACGCACAAAATTAAAACTCTTATGCTATTTTATTTTATTTTATTACTACTGTTTTTATGATTTTTTTATGAATTTTATGGAGAAGACTACCATGTTTATGGATAGCTAAATTATTTTTCCAGCCAAAGGATTATTCATGATTTGGTTTACATGATTTGTGAGATCTAATTGTGTTTTCAATTCCATATTCTCTTTTATTCGTATTTCTCTTGTGTTTATTATCAATTGTTATTTTGATTGATTGATGCAAAAAGAGCTCTTTGTTCAATTATCTGAATAGCATATCGCCATTTAGGACATTAAATCCGTAATTGTTTGATTGTTCTAATATTGGTGGCAGAGAACATAGTTGATTACTAAGGGTTTTTGATTTTATGTTTAGGGAGATATATGATCTAGTCTAAATGATCTACATGTGTGATTGTTGGCTAGAATTGGTGGTCCTTCTAAATTTTAATGCTGTTGATAGATTAAATCCTATGATCGTATCTAGGATTGTCTATTGATTAGAGAAATAGTTAGTGATCGTATCCCGATTATCGAACAAGTAAGGAAGGATAGGTTATTAGGTCGTACCAATAACCATAACCAGTTTAATTGAGAGTAGGAGAATTATCTTTGCATCTATGATCGAATCATTGAACCATTTCTACGAATCTTTCCTTTGGTTGGATATTTTATCTCCTTTATTCATTCTATTTAAATCTTGAATCTCTCCTTTTTGTGTTTATTTTCATTGAACTGCATTTTTATTATTTTAGGTAGATTGAACACATCAAAACCCCCATCTTTTTATTTATTTGTTATTCCTTTTACGAAATAGTTGCATCAATTCATTTCATCCAATCTCTGTGGATACGACCCTACTCATTGCTACTATAATTTTATATTTTAAACGAGTAGAAATTTATTATTGTTGGTTTCGACACCCATCAATTTTTGGCGCCGTTGCCGGGGATTGGAAATTAAAATTAGATTTGTTTTGATGCCACGTTCTTTTCGTGCAGGAAATCTACTTGAGTACGATCCAGAAATCGAGAAAATTGCAAAGCGGTTGCAGAAAGAAGCTAAATTTTTGCGTGCTCAAGAGTCTTCTTCATCTTCCCCCGGATTAAATATTGCCCTTGATTTGGAGGATTCTTCTAGTGATTCAGAAGTTGAAATCGAAGCAGAAGCTGAGCCGATTATGGCACAGAGACAGCAAACGCTACGAGAATTGACTGCTCCAGACATAGAACAAACTCCATTGTGCATTGAGTACCCAACGATGGAGGCAGATTTTGAGCTCAAGTCCGGTCTCATCCACATACTTCCTAAGTTCCGTGGACTTGAGAATGAGGATCCACATAAACATTTGAAAGAGTTCCATGTAGCGTGTTCAAGTATGAAGCCACAAGGTGTCACGGAGGACCAAATCAAACTTCGAGCATTTCCTTTCTCATTGATCGATTGTGCTAAGGATTGGCTATTTTACTTGCCTCCTGGATCTGTTAACACGTGGAATGGAATGCTACGCCTGTTTCTCGACAAATATTTCCCTGCTTCAAGAGCAGCAAACATTCGGAGGGGGATTTGTTCAATCAAACAAAAGGATGTCGAGACGCTCCACGATTACTGGGAACGATTCAAGCAACTTTGCTCTTGTTGCCCTCAACATGGAATCTCTGAACAGCTCCTCATCCAATACTTTTATGAGGGACTACTACCGATGGAGAGAAGGATGATGGATGCCGCTAGTGGAGGAGCCATTGCAAACAAGACTCCTGCTCAAGCAAGAGAATTGATCTCCACCATGGCTGCTAACTCTCAGCAGTTCGGTTCCAGACATGACACCTACTAGAGGAAGGTGAATGAGGTGAATGTGTCATCTCTTGAAAGTCAAATAGCTAATTTGACTTCATTGGTTCAACAGTTGGCGACTGGTGGCGTGCAACAAGTGAAGGCTTGTGGGATTTGTGCTGATTCCGGACACCCCACTGATATGTGTCCGACACTTCAAGAAGATTCCACAGCAAGCTAATGCGATTGGAGGATTCCCGGGCCCACCACACAGGAAGTATGACCCATTCTCCAACACTTATAATCCAGGATGGAGGGATCATCCTAGTTTAAGCTATGCACCGAGGCCTCAGTTCCAAAACTTTATGCCTAGACCGCCTCCACCTCCTCCTCAACCTCAATAGCATGCCACGAGTTCCAACTCATCTCTTGAAGATATGATGAAATCACTTGTCTTGAACACTCAACAATTTCAACAAGGGACAAGGAGTAGCATAAAAAATCTCGAGGAACGGTTCAACCAACTCGCCTCTTCTGTGAGCCGCAACGAGTCTCAAGGTAAACTGCCATCACAAACGGTGATCAACCCAAAGCAGAATGCAAATGCAATAACCTTGAGAAGTGTAAAGGAGCTACAAGATGCTAAGAAATCGAGCAAAAAGGGAAATCTCGAAGAAGAGGTTGAAAAAGAAGTTGCACATGATGCTGTCAAAGGTCAGGACGCGGACCAAGGTAAGCCACTGAAACCCTTAGCTCCCAGTCCCCCTTTTCCTTCAAGATTGTCTAAATCGAAGAAGGAAGAGGAGGAAAAAGAGATATTTAATACTTTTCGTAAGGTCGAGGTAAATATTCCTTTACTTGATGCTATTAAACAAATTCCTCGATATGCTAAGTTTTTGAAAGAATTGTGCACGAATAAGAAGAAATTGAAAGGCAATGAATTTGTGAGTATGGGTGAGAATGTTTCTGCTGTTCTTCAGAAAATATTGCCGCCAAAATGCAAGGATCCAGGTATGTTTACTATTCCTTGTAAAATTGGGAGTGTGAGAATGGAAAGGGCAATGTTAGATCTTGGAGCTTCGATTAATGTCATGCCTATGTCAATTTATGCTTCTTTGAATGTTGGGCCCTTGAAAGAGACTGGCGTGATTATTCAACTTGCTGATAGATCTAATGTGTATCCTGAGGGTGTGTTAGAGGATGTTTTGGTTCAAGTCAATGAATTGGTATTTCCTGCTGATTTTAATGTGCTTGACATGGAAGAAGATGCATCATCTCATTCATTGATTTTGCTAGGAAGACCATTCTTAAAGACTTCTAGGACGAAAATTGATGTATATGATGGGACACTTACTATGGAATTTGATGGTGATATCATTGAATTTAATATTTATAATGCCATGAAATATCCTTGTGAGTCGTCTTCGGTTTTTGTCTTGGATGTTATTGATCCTTTAGCGGAGAAAGTGTTTGAGTTAGGTGATGAAGATGCATTGAACATAGCACTCAGCAAGAACTTTAGGCATAGTCGTCCATGTAAACTCATGAAGAAATTTGAACTAGAATTGGACTTGCTTGAAGCTATTCATGATTTGGATTCACTTCCACCTTTGAAACACATTGTCTCTTTTGTTGAATTATCTTCTACTCATGCTAAACTTTTACCTTCTACTATGCAGGCACCATTTTTGGAGTTGAAATCCCTCCCAGATCACTTAAAGTATGCGTACTTGGGAGAAAAAGAGACCCTTCCAGTTATCATCTCCAATAAGTTGTCCACTTTGGAGGAAGAGAAGTTGATTCGGGTCCTAAGAGAATTCAAGGAGGCTATTGGGTGGACGATTGCGGATATCAAGGGATTGAACCCTTCTACGTGTACTCATAGGATATTGCTTGAAGAAGGGAGCAAGCCTTCTCGTTAGGCCCAACATCGTCTTAACCCACCTATGATGGAGGTGGTAAAGAAAGAAATCTTGAAACTTCTCGATGCAGGTATGATCTATCCAATCTCGGATAGCACTTGGGTAAGTCCAGTTCAAGTTGTGCCCAAGAAAACAAGTATTACAGTAGTAGAGAATTTTGAAGGTGAGCTTGTAGCCACTCGTGAGCAAAACGGGTGGCGGGTTTGTGTAGATTATCGAGCTTTGAATGCATTGACACGAAAGGATCATTTTCCATTGCCATTTATTGATCAAATGCTTGAACGATTAGCTGGTCATACTCATTATTGTTGTCTTGATGGTTACTCAGGTTTTCACCAGATACCGGTTGCCCCAGAGGATCAAGAGAAGACTACTTTCACATGCCCATTTGGCACTTTTGCCTATCGACGGATGCCGTTCGGGCTTTGTAATTCCCCCGCCACTTTCCAGAGGTGTATGGTTAGTATATTTTCTGATTATGTAGAGAATATCATTGAGGTCTTTATGGATGATTTCACAGTTTATGGAAACTCTTTTGATTCGTGTCTTTCTAATCTTACGAAGATACTTGAACGGTGTATTGAAAAGAATCTTGTTTTGAATTATGAGAAATGTCATTTTATGGTTGATCAAGGCATTATTCTAGGGCATATAGTTTCTTCTAAGGGAATTGAGGTTGATAGAGCTAAGGTAGATGTTATTAAATCCTTGCCTTACCCCGTGAGTGTGCGGGAGATTCGTTCTTTTCTTGGACATGCAGGATTTTACCGACGCTTCATCAAAGACTTCTAGAAGATTACTCAGCCCTTGTGTAGACTATTGCAAAAAGATGTAGTGTTCGACTTCAATGACATGTGCAAAGAGGCATTTGATAAGCTAAAAGATATGTTGACGTCTGCGCCGATCATCAAACCACCGGATTGGAATCTTCCATTTGAGATCATGTGTGACGCGAGCAATTATGCAGTTGGTGCTGTTCTTGGTCAGAAAATTGGAAGGACTCCTTATGTTATCTACTATGCGTCGAGGACGCTTGATAGCGCTCAGTGCAACTACTCGACGACGGAAAAAGAACTCCTTTCTATTGTATTTGCTTTAGAAAAATTCCGTTCTTATTTACTTGGTACTAAAGTGATTGTATTTTCTGACCATGCTGCTATCAAGTATTTGCTTGCGAAGAAGGAGTCAAAGCCTCGCCTTATTCGTTGGATACTCTTGCTTCAAGAGTTTGACTTGGAGATACGCGACAAGAAAGGATCAGAGAACTTGGTAGCTGATCACCTAAGTAGATTTATCACAAGTGAAGAGGTAGCCCCATTGAAAGATGAGTTTCCAGATGAGCATCTCTTTTCTGTCCAGAAGATGAATCCTTGGTACGCTGATATAGTTAATTATTTAGTTGCTGGAACTTTACCAACAGATTTGTCTAGGTCTCAAAAGGATAAAATTAAAAGTGATGCTAAATATTATTCTTAGGATGACCCTTATTTGTGGAAATTTTGTTCTGATCAAGTTATTCGAAGGTGTGTCGCTGAAAATGAGTTTGAGTCTATATTGAGATTTTGTCATTCTTATGCTTGTGGAGGACACTTTGGTCCAAAAAGGACATCTCGTAAGGTTTTAGAGTGTGGATTTTTTTGGCCTACATTGTTTCGTGATGCTTATTTATTTTGCAAGTCTTGTGAACAATGTCAAAAGACAGGAAGCCTAGGACATCGAGATCAAATGCCCCTCAACCCTATTCTAGTTTGCGAAATATTTGATGTTTGGGGTATTGATTTTATGGGTCCTTTTCCTTCTTCTTATGGCAATGTGTACATACTTCTTGCTATTGATTATATGTCAAAATGGGTTGAAGCTAAGGCTACACGGACTAACGATGCTAAAGTGGTTGTGGATTTTGTGAAGTCTAATATTTTTGTTAGGTTTGGGACTCCAAGGGCTATTATAAGCGATCGTGGGACTCATTTCTGCAACAAGGTTGTGGAAGCTTTGATGAAAAGGTATGGTGTCATCCATCGAACTTCTACCGCTTACCATCCTCAAATGAGTGGTCAAGGAGAGGTCTCGAACAGAGAGATCAAGTCTATACTTGAGAAGACTGTGAGTCCGAATAGGAAGGATTGGAGTACGCGACTTGATGATGCGCTGTGGGCGTATAGAACCGCCTATAAGACTCCGATAGGTATGTCTCCTTATCGCTTGGTATTTGGTAAGCCTTGTCATCTTCCTGTAGAATTAGAACATCGTGCATATTGGGCAATTAAGCATTGCAATTTAAAAATGGATGAGGCGGGAGAAATGAGAAAATTACAATTGCAAGAGCTTGAAGAAATTCATAATGAAGCCTATGAAAGCTCTAAAATTTATAAAGAGAAAACAAAAACATTTCACGATAGAATGATTTCTCGGAAAGAATTTCATATTGGTCAAAAAGTGTTGCTTTTTAATTCCAAATTGAAACTATTTCCTGGGAAATTACGTTCTAGATGGCTAGGGCCTTTCGTTGTTACTAATGTTTTTTCTCATGGTGCAGTTGAGATAAAAAGTCACGATACCGGTAAGGTGTTTAAGGTGAATGGCCATCGTTTGAAACCTTTTTATGAAGGTTTTCAAGCTCACGCCATTGATAAAATTGAGTTTAGTAGCCCGAACTACTCCGGTTGATCCATAGCACGGTCTAGCCAAAGACGTTAAAGAAAGGCGCTTTTTGGGAGGCAACCCAATTTTTAGTGTTCTTTTATTTTTTTTCTACTTGATTTTATTAATTTTAGGTTAGTATTTGATAGTTTTTATAGGATTTTTGAAAATTTTTAAAGTAGAAACGTTTTTCTTTATAAGACGTGGGCACGCCTTATACGCGTAAAATGCCCGATTTCTCTTCATTTAAGCCGTGGCCACGCCTTAGGAGAAAAACGCTGCTGTCCGCCGGCTGCTCCCTACTTACAGTTTTGTTTTTATTTTTTTTATTTTATTTATTTATTTATTTTATTCAGTTTTTTTTAAAAAAAAAAAAATCAGAAAAAAAAATCGGACTCTCCTTCCTAACGATTTACTTTGTCTCACAGCCCTAGTCTTCTTCTTCTCTCTCACAGAAATCGCGAGAATCGCGAGACAATCCGTCGTTCCCGTCCATCTTTTCCGATCGTGACCGCCGGCCGATATCGGAAACCGTGCGAGCCGCTGCCGTTGGCCTCCATCTTCACCGTGCGTGACCCTTTTGTTCCCGACGACAACCACAGCGACAATCATCCACCGTGTCCGCTCTCAGAACACACTCCGGCGAGCCGTGTTTCCCAGCCTACCACCGACGATTCTAATTCCGGTGGCCGCTGCTTCTTCTCGGTCGGCATCTGTTGCCCCTTTTCCGGCGTAACAGACCGTCTGTCTTATCTTCTCTGGTGGAAGACGTGACCTTCAGGGACGACCACCGCTACCATCGTCACCGGCCGTCACTCCGCCGTCAGCAACCTACGATTCAGACGTCCCCTGCTCATATCCCACGACGGATTTCAGAAACTAGTGAGTCCGACGAACCCATCAATTCAGACGTCCCCTGCTCATATCCCATCAATTCAGAAACTAGTGTTCGCAAGACGACCACTGTGCGCGCGGCTGCTTCCACCGGCCACGTCATTCGGCCACCGTCTACCGACTGTTAATTGCAGAAAACAAGCACGTCCAAACAGCAGGTATTATCTGATTCCTGATTGCCTAATTTTGTGGCGCACGCCAAATTGCCATGGGTCGTACCACGAACAAGGATAGCCAGGCCAAGGGAAAATGCAATCTCAAACGTGTCCAATCGATCACTCGCTCGAGCTCTGCTTTAGACCGTAGTCAAGAGGAACCCGACACGCGCAAACGTGCTAGACTCGGCAAGAGCTTGCAAATTCTTCCACCCTCCGAGGCCGACTTGAACGGTAATCTCAATTTTTCCAAAAAGGTTGAGAAACACAGGTATCGTATTCTATGTTCTCAATCTATTGTCCCTTGTAGATTCATAGATCGTCCTACGATGGATGCGTTGCAAATAACTGATAGGGTCGATGAGTTGATTGAGAATATTGGATGGGTGTCGTATTTTAAAATTAATTGCCCTGCGTATGTTGAGCTTGTTCGGGAATTTTATGCCACGTATGAATTTAAAAAACCTGTTGATTTTAATTTGAGCTCTCATGGGGTTGTGAAATTTCGGTTGACTGGGAAATGGTTTAATTTTTCTATTACTGAGTTTAATGTGGCGTTCGGTTTCATTACTGAGGAGTTTGGCAATAGTGATGAATATCGGAATATGACTTGCGATTTTCATGATGATTTCAGTGTTGTTGGTCTATATCGTGAGTTATCGCCTCTTAATTATTATAATCCCAGCACGTCTACAGATACTTATTTGTGTGACCCTGTTTTGAAGCATGTCCATAGGTTTTTCTCTTATACATTTTCAGGAAGAAAAGAAAATTCTGTTGTGTTGTCAAAAACTGAATTTTTCTTCCTATGGGCTATGCTTA